GTAATTGAACCAGGGAAACAACCAGAAATTTGCCATTTGCCACCCTCAACTCCGAATCAAAACAAATGACGAGAGCAAGCGGAAATCCGCCTTCACTCTAGCCTTTTTTCGTCTTTTCCTTATTTTTCGTCTTTTCCTCATTTTTTGGGTCAGTTGGCACACGCGTTTCGCATTCTTTTCCCCTTGGAAAAGCAATGAGTGAACTTTTGAAGAGAAAAAAAAACAACATTCTTGCCATTTTTCTGGCTAGATTGTTGTCATTTGGTGATGGAAGATCAATTACGCGCTGGATGACTGAAAAGTGAAAAGCGCTGGATGAAAATGTTTACTCAAAATTCGCTTATTCGGCAAATTTTCAGTGAGTAACTCGGGGTTTGAGTCATGCAAAAATTTGTGAAGTCTGAAAAAGTCTGAAAAGGTTTTTAAGCTAAGATTTTTTAAATATTCAAATTAACGACTTTTCTTTTTATCTGGATGTCAAAAAGCCAAAAAATGGCATTATTCTGGAGAGTTTCTGGATTTCTGGAAAGATTAGACAAAGCTAGGTCCGACCAGGCCAGGCTAGACCAGGCTAGACCAGGCCAGGCTAGACCCGGCTAGACCAGGCTAGGCTAGACCAGGCTAGACCAGGCCAGGCTAGACCAGGCTAGACCAGGCTAGACTAGACCAGGCTAGACCAGGCTAGACTAGACTAGGCTAGACCAGACCAGGCTAGACCCGGCTAGACCAGGCTAGGCTAGACTAGGCTAGACCAGGCTAGACTAGACTAGGCTAGACCAGACCAGGCTAGACCCGGCTAGACCAGGCTAGGCTAGACTAGGCTAGACCAGGCTAGACTAGACTAGGCTAGACCAGGCTAGACTAGACCAGGCTAGACCAGGCTAGACCAGGCTAGACCAGGCTAGACCAGGCCAGGCTAGACCAGGCTAGACCAGGCTAGGCTAGACCAGGCTAGACCAGGCTAGACTAGACTAGGCTAGACCAGGCTAGACTAGACTAGGCTAGACCAGGCTAGGCTAGACTAGGCTAGACCAGGCTAGACTAGACCAGGCTAGACCAGGCCAGTCCAGTCCAGTTCAGTCCAGTCTAGACCAGGCTAGACCAGACCAGGCTAGACCCGGCTAGACCAAGCTAGACCAGGTCAGTCCAGTCCAGTTCAGTCCAGGCTAGACCAGGCCAGTTCAGTCCCGCCTAGAGCAGACCGGTTCAGTCTAGTCTAGACTAAGCCAGGCCAGTCCAAGCTAGACCAGGCCAGTTCAGTCTAGGCTAGACCAGCCCAGTTCAGTCCAGCCTAGACCAGGCCAGGCTAGCCTTGTTTTGTTTTGTCTGAAAACCTTTCGAACAACCCTAGCCCTCAATATCTTCCAATTAGAACATTCTTATAAATCAATTTTCTAAATAAATTCTGAAAAGACGATGAATAGAGACATAAATTCGAGGAAAGCAATTCTTGGGTGGCTGGATGAACGACTGGGAGTCGATCGTGTGGTCCTGGCAAGGCCAAATCCCCCGGGGACCCATTTTGAGGGGGATGTGGGTAGGGGAAAGAGACCCATCCAGGAGAGATGATCAGTTTGAGTCTAGGTTAGAGGCTGAATGGGCCAAAGAGCAGTAGAATGGCGGAAGAGGGGGAACACCCACCCCTATTTCTCAATTCTCGGGAAAAGGGAAAGGGCTTTTCCCTTTCAAGTCCTTGCAAAAAGTCATCCACGTTGATATGGAGTTGTTATGGAAAAAAGTTGAAGCTATTTGGCTAAGGAAGTCTTTGCCAAAGTCTTTGCCGTTTTTCTAGGTCTTAAACTTGTCCGATCTGGACGTTTAATAGCTCATTTAAAAGCTAATTTTCTAGCGAATTGAATAGAAAAGAACGTTTGTCAATTTGTCAATTTTAAAAGTTTTTTCGGTTGTTTTACTGAGTGGCGTCAGAGCCCAGATTTCAAAAAAAGTCATTTTTTCATTTTTTTGCACAGAAACCTAAGCTGAAACCATTTTTTTCGGAATCAGCGTTAAAAATTACTCCTAGCTCTTTCTTTTAGAGCAAAAAAAAACGCAAAGCTCGTTCGCTTAGCAAAATTTTTTTAAAACCAAAGTTCAAAATGTGAATTTGAACCGAAAAAAGCAAATTTTTCCAAAAAAAGCAAAATTCCGTAAAAATCTCCGAATTCTTTGTATTTTTACCACAAATCCTTGCATCATTTTTGCAAAAAAATAGCCAAAAAGGCCAAATGTTGAATTGGATTTGGGAAAGTTGGGTAATTAAACCGACCCAAAGCCGAAATCGGGCGCATCCAATGATTTACTAAAAAGCAAAAAGAAAATGGACTTCAATTTGCAATAGCTCTTCAAATTGGAAGTCACAGCTCTTGTTTTGAAGGTTTCTAATGACTGGCGTTCATTTTCTTTGCTAGACAACTTGCGTAATTAAACCGACCGCTTTTTACAAAGCCCAAAAAGAAAACGGACTTTGATTTGTAATATTCTTTCAAATTGGAAGTCACAGCTCTTGTTTTGAACGTTTCAAGTGGGTGGGAGGCGAAATTTCTTTACCGGGCAACCTGCGTAATTAAACCGGCTGTGTTTTACAAAAGTCCAAAAAGAAAACGGACTTCAATTTGCAATAGCTCTTCAAATTGGAAGTCACAGCTCTTGTTTTGAAACTTTTGAGCGAATGGCGAAAAAATTTCTAAACCGGGCAACTTGCGTAATTAAACCGGCTGTCTTTTACAAAAGTCCAAAAAGAAAACGGACTTTGATTTGTAATATTCTTTCAAATTGGAAGTCACAGCTCTTTTTTAGAAGGTTTTGAGTGCCTGACGTGCATTTTCTTTGTTAGACAACTTGCGTAATTAAACCGACCGCTTTTTACAAAGCCCAAAAAGAAAACGGACTTTGATTTGTAATATTCTTTCAAATTGGAAGTCACAGCTCTTTTTTAGAACGTTTCAAGTGAATGGGAGGCGAAAAAACTTTTTCTGACACTTGGGTAACTAAACCGATGATCTTTGACTATCAAAACCTAATTCGCATGATTTTTCATGATTTTTGATATTCACATCTTCATCTTCAAGCTAATTTTCATAAAAACTTGAGGGTTTTTTGATTAAAATTCAATCCAAATTTTGCTTTCTTTTCCTCTAGATCAGATTTTTTTCTTCAGAAAACACAAAAAGTTACTTCTGGATGAATGAAAGTTTCTTTAGAAAGCAAAAAAAAAAGAACGGAGTCTCTCTCCTTTTCGTTTTCCTTTTTTTGAAAGAAACCCAAGGGAATTCCCATTCTTGTCCCCTTTTCAAGGTGTTCATTTGGTGAGATTAACACGCTTTTTCCATCATTTTCTCTCATTTTCTCCCATTTTCTCCCATTTTCTTGTCGTTTCTGGGAAAAATAGCAAATTCAAATGCGATTCCTGGATGGCATTGATTGTTTTTGAGGAACAATCCCTTTGAGAAACGTGAATTTCCGAGAGCACAGCAAAACGAAACGATTTTCGGAAGCAAAACGAGTGACGCTCGGAAAATGGGGAAAATTTTAAATTTTCAGAAAAGTTGTAACAAAAAAACTGAATCCTGGAAGGCACAAGGGCGATTGGGCAAAAAATTTTTGCTTTTAAGCCACTTTAAAACGATTCACTTTTTGCGCCTGGAAAAGTGCTCCAAAATTTTTCGGTCTTATCTAGTCAAAAATCTCGAAATAACAATTTTTATATTAAATCTGGATGTCATCGAATCAAACTAGCAGCTTTGGTTTGCATTGAATTGCATTTGGGTTTGGGTTGTATTGAATGGCAATTCTAATTTTGCCTGGCAAGCCAAGCTCATGGTTTTATTTGTCTTTAAAATTGCGTTATTCAGTCTATTCAAAATTTCCCATTTCCCTTGCACCGATCCACTCAGAAAATGCCCAGACAATGCCCAGACAATACCCAGACTTGATCTCAACTCACCTCTCCCAATTTTCTGATTTGAAGGATTTGAAGGAAAGGGATTTGAATGTAAAATAGGCCCCATCCACCCGTACTCACGTACCCGACGGCGGTGCCCTTCTCCAATAGAAACGCATTGGAGAACGGAGTTCTATTGGAAAAGGCGTCTCTATTGGAAAAGGCGTTTCTATTGGAGAATGCGTTTCTATTGGAGAAGAAATTTCTATCGGAGAGATGGCTTTTAATAGAGAGCAAGCTTCTATTAGAAGGCTTCTATCTTTACGATAATTGAGTTTAGTCTTCCTGGATGGCATTGATTGTTTTTGAGGAACAATCCCTTTGAAACGCAGAAAGCAGAAACGTAAATTTCCCAGAGCACAGCAAAACGAAACGATTTTCGGAAGCAAAACGAGTGACACTCGGAAAATGGAGAAAAGTTTAAAATTTTCAGAAAAGTTGTAACAAAAAAACTGAATCCTGGAAGGCACAAGGGCGATTGGGCAAAAAATTTTTGCTTTTCAGCCACTTTAAAACGATTCACTTTTTGCGCCTGGAAGAGTGCTCCAAAATTTTTCGGCCTTATCTAGTCAAAAATCTCGAAATAACAATTTTTATATTAAATCTGGATGTCATCGAATCAAACTAGCAGCTTTGATTTGCATTGAATTGCATTTGGGTTTGGGTTGTATTGAATGGCAATTCTAATTTTTCTGGTCAATTCTGGTCAATTCTGGTCAATTCTGGTCAATGCTGGTTAATGCTGGTCAATTCTGGTCAATGCTGGTCAATGCTGGTCAATGCTGGTCAATTCTGGTCAATTCTGGTCAATGCTGGTTAATGCTGGTCAATTCTGGTCAATGCTGGTCAATGCTGGTCAATGCTAGTCAATTCTGGTCAATTCTGGTCAATGCTGGTCAATGCTGGTCAATGCTGGTCAATGCTGGTCAATTCTGGTCAATGCTGGTCAATTCTGGTCAATGCTGGTCAATTCTGGTCAATGGCTGCAGTTTATGTGCAAGTCAACCCGTAGTTTAATTTCAACGGGAACAGTGCGTTACAACAGGCACAGTGCGTTACAATGGGCACAGCTCGTTACAACGGGAACAGTGCGTTGCCCCGTGCTTGGGAGTTATTCCGAATCTGCGGAATTATTCCAAATCTACGACACAGTGCGTTACAACAGGCACAGTGCGTTACAATGGGCAAAGCGCGTTACAATGGACACAGTGCGTTGCCCCGCGCTTGGGAGTTATTCCGAAACTGCGGAATTATTCCAAATCTGTGACTAACCGAGTCCAACGTTTGAAAAAATTTTCCTCCCATTTGGCTCAAAAGATGGCCGCAAAAAAACGGAGAGAACTTATGGACCAATCCAATATTTCAAATTTTTCTTTAAAGCGTCAAGAAGAGTAAAAGCAGGATCAAACAACTTGAAAAAGAGCGAATTAAAAATCCTGATTAAAATCCTGATTAAAAACCCTGATTAAAAACGCTGGTTAAAAATCCTGAGGCGAGAAAATCCTGAGAAACTCACCTGAGATCGAGTTTGGCAAAAAAGGAGAGATGCGGGAAATTCCCGGGGGAAAATTTTGAGAGCTAAGCCAAAATAAGACACGCATCTAGTTATCGACTGAGGAAAACATATATGAAGTGAACAATTTTGAAGAAAACATCTCAAAAATGGAGGTGGAGTTGACCCCATTGGACCATTGGTTTCTTGGGCATTGGTTTCTTGGATTTGCACGGGATCATCTCAAGGTTTGCCTCTCGAGACGGTAGCTTTATTGAATTTGATCAAGGCAATCAGGGCACTCATTCAATTCAATGAAAAGGGGAACTGTTTGCCAAGACTAAAGTCTAGGAGTTAAACGATAGTTGGCTCAAGAATTGATTCAAATAACGTAAAAACGTTAATCGTTTTTGTCGGAACGTTGTCGACGAGGGAATCGTCGGAATCGTCGGAATCAGTTCATCCTTTTCAAAGCATCTAATTTGATCATCTTCAAGTCCATTGACATCTTCGGGATTCTGGATCATTCGTGATTCTGGATCAATCGTCATTCTCCTTCATTCGTCTGCATCATTCTGCACATCTTGAACGACTTCTTGAATGACTTATGAGCTCTTTAGGCAGAGACAACAGTCAACAATCCATTAGAAATCAATCTCCATTGAAGGAGTCTTTAAATTTTCGGTTTTTCTCATGTTCACCATCATCCATTCTTAGAAATGGCGAATCTTGGCTTTTAACGAAAACAGATGATTCCACGATATCAGCTGGTTCAAAGAACTTCGCGGTTTGTTCCTTCGGTTTGTTCCTTCAGTTTGTTCCTTCGGTTTGTTCCTTCGGGCACCACCACCGTGTCCAATATCAACAACTTGAGTTTCTTGTTGATGCGATCTCGAAATGCTGATATGGTGTGCTGGTATGACCTCGAAATGAATCGAAAACCAGAAGCCTCTTCCCAGAAGAGCCTCTTCCCAGAAGCCTCAAATGTCCGATCGAAGTAAACTGTTTTTTCTCTTTCTTTAGAATAGAAGAAAAGTCTTCACAAACACAAAAATACTAGATTCGATTAAGGAAGTTAAAAGATTAATATTGCTCCTCTCAACTATCAAAGTATTAAAGTAAATTAAATATTAATTTAATCTTGAATAGACAAGCAAGAAAGAATGCATTAGAGAAAAAGAAAATGCTAAAACTAATAAAAGTATAAAATACCTGCTTTTAGTTAAGGTAATTTTTGGGTTACGGTATAAAAAGCTGAAAATAAAAAGATTGGAGAAGGGATTTCTATTGGAAAAGGCGTTTCTTTGGAAAAGGCGTTTCTATGGGAGAAGGGAGTTCTATTGGAGAGGGAGCTCTGTTGGAGAAGGGAGTTCTATTGGAGGAGAGGGATTTGAATGTAAAATAGGCCCCATCCACCCGTACTCACGTGCGCGGCGGCGGTGCCCTTCTCCAATAGAAACGCATTGGAGAAGGCGTTTCTATTGGAGAAGAGAATTCTATTGGAAAAGGCGTCTCTATTGGAAAAGGCGTTTCTATCGGAGGAGGCGTTTCTATTGGAGAAGAAATTTCTATCGGAGAGATGGCTTTTAATAGAGAGCAAGCTTCTATTAGAAGGCTTCTATCTTTACGGTAATTGTGTTTAGTCTTCCTGGATGGCATTGCTTGTTTTTGAGGAGCAATCCCTTTGAGAAATGAATATCTCATCGATATCAGAATTCTTTTCGAAAGCACAGCAAAACGAAACGATTTTCGGAAGCAAAACGAGTGACGCTCGGAAAATGGGGAAAAATTTAAATTTTCAGAAAAGTTGTAACGTAGAAACTGAATCCTGGAAGGCACAAAGGCGATTGGGCAAAAAATTTTTGCTTTTCAGTCACTTTAAAACGATTCACTTTTTGCGCCTGGAAAAGTGCTCCAAAATTTTTCGGTCTTATCTAGTATAAAATCTCGAAATAACAATTTTTATATTAAATCTGGATGTCATCGAATCAAACTAGCAGCTTTGGTTTGCATTGAATTGTATTTGGGTTTGGGTTGAATTTAATGGCAATGAGAAGCCAAGCTCATGGTTTTATTCGTCTTTAAAATTACGCTATTTAGTCTATTCAAAATTTGCCATTTCCCTTGCACCGATCCACTCAGAAAATGCCCAGACAATGCCCAGGCAATACCCAGACTTGACCTCAACTCACCTCTCCCAATTTTCTGATTTCAGAGCCTTTCTGATTTCCCGCAAACGTTGCAAGCTATATCTTTCCTTTCGATTCGTAAAAATGGCACTCAATGGACGTGAATCTCTCTTTTTTCTCTCTCTTTTCTCTCTCTTTTCCCCTCAGCAATCCCCTCGAAAAAACGCTCTCATCAAGCGTCGATTGGGGTGCAAAATGATCTCTCGATCCTGGCTCGAGTTGAGATGAGATATTCGAGAATGGGTGAAAGGCAAGAATTTGAAAAATGAAAAAGGGATTTACTAGGGAAAGGCACAGGTCAATGTGATCTCCCAGATTGAAATAAATTAGGTAAAGGGTTCCCGTTCTGTTCTAACAGATCAATTATCGTTTCTTGTACTCAAAGTCATTCCGATTGACACAACCCTGACAACAAAGAATCATTGGCATAAAATTTGAATTGATTTCCATTATTTTATGGACTTCAATTCCATTTTATAGAATTCAATTCCATTTTCCGTTTTGAATTCCATTATTTTTGACAAAAGAGGACGTGAAATCGTGAACAATCTTCCAGCAACAAAGCATTTATGCAGAAAAGCATTAAAAGCATTAAAAGCATTTCTTGAAGCATTTCTTGAAGCATTTCTGGAAGCATTTCAGTTCTTGCATCATTTCTAAACGTTAATCCAAACATTCTTCCTTTAATCAAAGTCAAAATAAATCAATCCTGATGGCATAAACATTTCTAATCATTTCTAATCATTTCTAAACATTTCTAAACATTTCTAGCCATTTCTAGCCATTTCTAGCCATTTCTAACCATTTCTAACCATTTCTAGCCATTTCTAGCCATTTCTAGCCATTTCTAGACATTTCTAGACATTTCTAGACATTTCTAGACATTTCTAGACATTTCTAATCATTTCTAATCATTTCTAAACATTTCTAATCATTTCTAAACATTTCTAAACATTTCTAGTCATTACTAGCCATTTCTAGACATTTCTAGACATTTCTAGCCATTTCTAGCCATTTCTAGCCATTTCTAGCCATTTCTAGCCATTTCTAGCCATTTCTAGCCATTTCTAGCCATTTCTAGCCATTTCTAGACATTTCTAGACATTTCTAGACATTTCTAGACATTTTCTCAAAAAATGAAAAAGAATCTACTAGGAGAGGACTCGAACCCGGGGAAGATATGGTGAGCAGACTGTCCACAGCCGAGCCCACTATCCACTGCGCCATTACCCTCTTAGCCACCAAAAGAGAAATAGCTTATAAGGACTCGGCCCTTGAGACGAAAAGACGCGGAAAAGATGCGGAAAAGAACCGGAAAGACGCGGAAAGCCCGTACAAAACCCGCGGAAAAGCAAAGGCTTCAGCTTGTAGATATGGTGCAGTGCCAGAGCGTCGGTCTCTCGCTCTAATCATTGAGGGTTCGAGCCCGCCTGCGACTTTCGATTTTTGCAAATCAATTTGTTCTCATGGTGGATTGCTAGAGCGTCTCTCTCTCAATCCAATCGTCTTTTAAAGTAGCGTCAAAATTCTCAGAAATCAGTTTCAGAAGCAAAAGCAGAAGTTTAAAATCATTCGACAAGAATTCTGATATCGATGAATGTGTCAGCTCCGAGCCAAACTGATATTTGACTATTGTTAGCCAAACTGACTATTGTTATTATCTATGCAACCGCAGTACAGGTCGGTCATTTCACAGGGACTCCCCTCTAATACGTTGGAGGAGTTGAGTCGGGTTGTCGGAGTGTTAGAGATGTCGGGATATCAAAAGGGATCCACTCTCTTTAACTTAACCCAAATTCTAGTCCATGCCCGTTTACACCTAGGAACGAATAAGCCCTCTAAGCTGAGCCCTGTAAAAAGCGTAAAGTTTTGAAAAAGCCGTTAAAAAAGCCGTTTAAAAGTTTCCTTTTGGAAATTAATCATTGCTCATACCTTCACACTAGGCGTCTTTTTTTTTTCATTAAAATCTTATGGTTGCTTTGATTTTTATGAACTTTTAACAAAATCTACTGGAATTTGCTTGTGTTGGAAAGTTTCAGCTTTGTAAACTCGAAAAAAACATTTCATTTCTTGAAAACGGACACCAATTCTTAAATGAAAAAAAAATGAAAATTTGAAAAAATAAAGTTGTGTCAGCTCCGAGCCAAACTGATATTTTAGTCACTATTGTTATTATTTAAGGATTTGTCTATCCTTATGCAAATGTGTCCTCCCCTGTGCTTATCCCTTTTATTGCCGAGAAGGGGCGGTCCTTGGGATTGCCTAGGAGGACGGTGAGGAGCCTAGGAGGACAGTGAGGAGCCTAGGAGGACAGTGAGGAGCCTAGGAGGACGATGAGGAACCTAGGAGGACAGTGAGGAGCCTAGGAGGACGGTGAGGATCCTAGGAGGACAGTGAGGAGCCTAGGAGGACGGTGAGGAGCCTAGGAGGACGATGAGGAACCTAGGAGGACAGTGAGGAGCCTAGGAGGACGGTGAGGATCCTAGGAGGACAGTGAGGAGCCTAGGAGGACGGTGAGGAGCCTAGGAGGACGATGAGGAACCTAGGAGGGACAGTGAGGAGCCTAGGGAGGACGGTGAGGAT